TCCAACGCCTTCCTTATTTGGTGAGCTTCAGGCCTCCTCACCAGGGAAGTCCGCCAACTTACAATGGAACTTTGAATCGAGAGCTGGATAGATCGATAGAGTCTGTATGGTTATTTGCAAATATAGATAGCAAAACTGCAACCTGCACTTCACAAGCAATTTATGAGCAGGTAAAGTTTATAATGGCGCAGTAAGGTGAGGCTAGATGGTGAGCTGTGAAGCATAAGCGAGTAATCGTATACATCGAGTCGAGTCGCAGTGGTTCAGTGGTAAGGTTCCACGTTCGACGATTCGATTCGACGTATGCGATTTCGCCTATGCTTCACAGCCCACCACCACACCTCCACCCTGCTGCGCCATTACAAACTTTACCTGCTCACAAGTTTCTTGTGAAATGCAGGTTGCAGCTCTGCCATCTATATTGGCGAATAACCTTATAGACTATCGATATACCCGGGTTCCATTCAAAGTCCCATGGTATGTTGGCGGACTTCCTTGGTCAGTGCCCGTAAAATCGCAATCGCTGCTCTCGTGCCTCCAGCTAGATCGGAGCCGTCTATGTGACTGCCCTGATTTCTGACTCTGTCATGTCCAGCCGCAAGCCCATCTCAGCATTCTCATTTCAGCTGAGTGGAGATTCATGGTTCTTGCATATGGGTCAACAATCGCTGCCGTAGAGCATCGCAGGCCTAACTACTGCCCGGTATACCTTGCCTTTGATCGTTCTCGAGCACCGCTGGTCGCGGATGCCAGTGGACTCTCTTCATTTCATTCAGGCTGATTCGGGCTTTGCCTGATCCACACTGCCATCAGCTGCTAGGTCGCTCCCAGGTACTGGAACTGCTCGGCCCTTTCGATACTTTCGCTGTAGCGGTATGGGTTCCGGTACACTCTTGGAGCCTAGGAACTTGCTCTTCTTTACGTTCGGTCGAGTCCATTCTTAGCAAGCACATCCTGCCACCGCTGCACCTTGTCATGGAGTTCTTCCCTGCTGTCCTCTATCAAGGCGATGTCATCAGCGTAGAGGGTGGTTTTCAGTGGCCCTTCCATGAAATCTTTTGCCATGACATCCAGAGTTAGGAGGAAGAGGAACGGGCTGAGGGCTGATCCTTGGTGTGCCCCAACCGCAATGTTTACGTCCTTTGCCAAGCCGTGAGGGATGCGTACAGCTGCTTTAGCCCTATGTCCTTCACTATGGAGACCAGGTGCTCCGGAACATTACGTTCTCTATGCGCTCTCCTGAGTACAGGCTGAGGCAGCCGATCGAATGCCTTCTCAGTCCAATGGCTAGGTGGCAGGTTTGCCGCTTCTGTCGATACTTCTCTGTCAGCTGTCTGGCGATGGAGATGGCATCAGTGGTGGACCTTCCGGACATGAAGCACTGTTCCTGTGAGATAGTGACAAGTTCATTCTGCTCTGTGGACCATGCGCTCGTACAGCTTTATGGTATGGGGGGAGTCAACTTGATGCCGCGGTAGTTGGAGCACTCCGTCGCGTCCCATTTCTGTTTGAACGGGGACGATTTTGCTGATCCTCCACGCATCCGGCATCCTTCCTTCAGCCATTACGTTGTTTAGGAAGTGGGTGAGCCAACTCACCCCATGCTGTCCTCTCTCCAAAGGCCTTCCATGCCTCTATCTACTCATCTGGACCTACTGCTTTGCCTTCATTCTCTCGGCGGACTTCATCCTGCGTCCAGGGAGTGATCGGACCTGCCGTCGCCCCTATCCGTGAGCTATCACTGCAGTGTCCAGCAGTCCCTCGAAGTATCCCTCCCACCTTTTTCTAACTTTAGCTGGCTTCCTGAAAATGTCCCCGTTGCTGCTGTTCGCAATCTTTTCGACCCTGGTGTTCTGAGCAGCGCGATGCCGAGCATTAGCCAGGGGGAAGACGAGCTTGTCCCTTTCTCGGCCCTCCAGCATTTCGTACAGGGAGTCCATTTCCGTAGTCTTTAGGAATAGCTGTCTTGGCGAACTTCCCTCCTTGTCTTCTGCCACCATGTATATGCTTCCTTCTTCTGCTTGACGATCGCCTGAACCTCCTCGTTCCATAACTAGGCTGCCTTGTCTCCTCTGATACCACCTCGCGTCTCTCCCAGGACTTTTTTGCACACTGTAGGATGACTTCTACTGTGGGTCCAGGTGTCCTGGACTGGCCCATGTGGGTCTGGGAGCCCAGCCTCCTGTATTCTTCGGCCGAAGCTATCCTTTCTACCTTGTGCATTTTAAAGCACCGAAATCTCTGCTCTGTTCACACTCTCGTGGAAGTCTATGGCGATGTCTTCCAGGATAGGTTTGTGCTAACGGCCCAGCTCTTTTCCAGCACTACCTTGGTATCCTTGATGGTTTTGAGAGACGACCTTCTTTTCAGGACACGGTCGATTTCCGTTTGTCTCCCTCCACTGCTGTAGGTTATCTTTTGAGTCATCGTTTTCGCGAAGGAGGTGCTGCAGATTGCTAAGTCGTGGGCTGTGGCTAAGTCGAAGATCCATTTTCTCTCAGCGTTCTGCCCCTATTTCTTGGCCTCCGTGCCCCCTTCTATCATTCCCCACATGGCCATTTAGACTCCCAGCTGTAATGAGGTAGTCATCTTTTGAGACCGATCTTCTGGTCTCTTCCAGGATTAGGTAGAACTCATCCTTCTCCGCCTCGGAACAACCGGGTTGTGGTGCGTACACGTTCAGTACTGTCCAGTACCCCTCCTTCGTGTCCATTCTCACTCAATGATCCGATCACTGATCCTCTTCACAGAAGAGACGCAGTCCTCGAAGGTTTATGCCACCGCTATATCCACGCCATTCCATTTGGTGTCTCCTCCATTGTAGAAGAGTTTGACACCTTCTCCAATCTCGCGAGTCTTCGCACGCTTCCATCGCGTTTCCTGAAGGCATAGGACGTGGGTATTCCTGCATCTCATGAAGTCGGCAACCTCACGAGACTTCCCGGTTAGCGAGCCCACGTGCAGGATCCCAATTCGAACTAGCTTCTTAGGCCGAGGTCGTTCAACCCCCGGTAGCCCTCGCATACTGACCACAGAATCGAGTGAGGGTTCTGTGCGCCACTTCTCGGTACGTCCTAGCTTTAACACTATACTTTTGCGACTTGTCACGATTCTTGTGACGGGTTCCTCCCTCAGCCGGCCTGACAACCTGGGCCTGATGCTGGTATCGTCCCCGTTTTTGCAATTTTTTGCAAGGCATGGTTTGTGCCTCGGCAGAGATCGAACTTGTGACTTAACCACTCGGCTATCCCTGCCCTATCACTCGGCCGATACCAGCATCATCTGAGGAAGGGATACCAAACGGGGACGATACCAGCATCATCTGAGGAAGGGATTTCTCAAGAAAAGATCCCAGAGAGGCAAACACGCCTTCTGAATAAAACAGAATGATCAAGCAGGGGTCAGAAGCAATTCTCTTTTAAAAGAATTATGAAGGGATACTTTCGTGTTTGGAGCTCTGCTAGAGATAGTCTGGATTTATGCCTGTTCCTGAAATTACTATGAGAAGACTTGGGACGAACCGCTACCATATCCTTCCGTTACTTCAATAATATGGCATCCCCACTTTCCAAAACCTTACAATCAACGAGAAAGAGCGAAAAAATGAAGAGTTCCTCCGAGAGTTGAAAAGCATCACGTTCCAATCAGCGATCAATGTTAAGTTCGCAGGGAAGTAGTACCACATCACGCCAGGAGGAAATTGACTTTAGGCCACGGCTGCGGCACGTTTTCTGATGAACAAAGCTATTCCCTGTTACTCATTGAAAAATTGGGCTCCCGCGGAATTTATAGCAGCGTGGCGCCTACTCTACCAGCTACGAAAGGTCGACTACCGTTTTCGACTTGATTTCGAGAATTCCCTTTTCTCCTCGCTGGAATAAGTTCAGAAATAAAGCCTTCTTAAAGACACATGGTACGCTCAAACACATTGAGGGTGTGTGAGACTATCAGCCCCCCAGCTGCCGATGTGTCGTGGTCCCCCCACCCCAAAACTGCACGGGGTCAGAGTACGGGGCCGTGGGAAAGTCGTAATTCCTGGCTACGCCGCCAGTTTCGCAAACTCACTTTTTCACTAACACCGTCCGCGCGGCGCGGTCGCGTGCAGCTCTCTTGGCTTTTTGGCAAGTCCTGTAATTGCGCTTTGGAATACAAGTACAACGCAGTTTCTTTATGCGGATAACATTTTAGGTGCTGCAAAATAAGAACTGAAGATGATGACGAGGGCTAGAACTTAAGAGCAACTAAGGTGCTTCTGCAGTGGCCCTCAGAGGCCGCGCATTCCCTCAAAACATGACAATAAAGACGGCCTAAGCATCCCACTCGTTAGTTTGAAGTATTTCTATAGCTTTAGAGCCGGATTCGAGCCGGATCGCAGAAATGCGCACGTGATTTTAATTTATTGCATTTTCTTAGTTTTAATTTTGTTTTATATACATCTACATTCGTTATTCTTTTCATTTCTAGTCTTTGTCATCTTCATCACCTTCTATTCGGACTTTAAAGCATGAGCAATACCTCAAATGTAAGGAAATTGCGTTTTGCTTGTATTGTCATGTTTTATTGTCATGTTGTTCGTTTTTATTGTCATGTTCTGTGGGAATGCGCGGCCTCTGAAGGATGTTGCAGAAGCACCACAGTTGCTCTTGAGTTCTAGCCCTCGTCATCATCTTCAGTTCTTGTGTTGGAGCACCTGAAATGTTACCCGCATAAAGAAATTGCGTCGTACTTGTATTCCAAAGCGCAATTACAGGACTTGGCCAAAAGCCAAGAGAGCTGCACGCGACCGCGCCGCGCGGACGGTGTTAATAAAAAAGTGAGTTCGCGAAACGGGCGGCGTAGCAAGGAATACGACTTTCCCACGGCCCCGTACTCTGACCCCGTGCAGTTTTGGGGTGGGGGGACCACGACACATCGGCAGCTGGGGGGGGGCTGATAGTCTCACACACCCTCAATGTGATTGTACCATGTGTCTTTAATGTACGCAGCTTCGAAATTTTCAGATGAACAACTTTATTAGTGCCTTCTACGATGCTGTTCTGTTATATGCGATTGCGTTGAATGAAACCATAGCTGCTGGTATGGATCCAAGGAATGGTCACAACATTACCAGTAAGATGTGGGGTCGTACATTCGACGGTATGTTGTATGGTATCTTGGCGGGTTTTTCTAATACAAGTTTTTTCGAACGGTTCGTCTACCTAGCTGGAATTCTTATCAGGTATCACGGGGAACGTGTCAATTGATGCTAACGGTGACCGATACTCCGATTACTCATTACTAGATCTTGATCCAGCTGTCGATAAGTTCGTGGTACGTTTTAATTTTGTAAGGCTCTCTGCCTGAAATAACGTCCTTACTTCTTGCTCTAGCCTGTCCAGTAAACTTGCGTTGGCTCGCGGAGTATTTCTCATTTGTCACATACTTTTTTCAAGGAATCCAGGCAGCACTCTTAATATATTTCCAGTGTATTCGTGATATGTGCACATGGTGCTCGAAAAAGATGATGGGGATCTCCCTTTTTAAATCTAATAGCAGTGACAGTCCACAGATTTCATCATTATTCTCTAGAAACATATTTTCCAGGAAGTTGCCTACTACTCTGGTGCCTCAAATGAGCTGAAAAAGGTCACTGATTTTCACTGGATTGGCGGTAAACCACCTCGTGATTCACCTATCTGTGGTTACGACAACAGCAAGTGCCCCAAGGTACATTTCGTCTATGTTGCTGTTTTCTTGTCTGTGTGTTTAGTTTACAATGCTTTCAAATGAAGCCATATAGCTTGGTCCAATCGCTCACTACCGACTGAACCCTCAGTCGTTGCGGGGAGAGCGGGGTGCTGAAGGTTTTGCTCAAACGTCTGCGAGGAGGGAACTATCCTTATGTTCCTAAATAAGTCCGTCATCAAATGAGAACGCACGACTCTGCGAGTGCCGCGAGTACGAACTCTGATTGATACCCTGTAAGTTGAAAGCAATTGCTGCGATGAAAAAAGGTCACTCTAGAAGGGCAGCTCTAGCAAACGAATGTAGCCGTGGCTCTGAACAGTGTCAGGTACTGTGATCGAAAATTTGCTGAAAGAATAGATAACAAAAGTACAAAGCGGAGGTGGCGCCCAGCAGAGCCTTGCTGTATCTGGGTATTAAAGTTAGGCTTTTTTCCAGAAGCCAACGCAACCTAATCTTATTTTAGAGGACGCATGAAGAACCATAGGTGGCGCCACATATTGCTACACACCACTAACGAAAGTATTGACTAAGGATCCTCTAATCGTGGTAAAGCACCGTTGTGCGAAACCCATCAGGGGGGGAGGGGGTCGAACGCTGAGTCGGTAAGCACCACAGAAGTGTCATCGCTAAGTTGTATAGAGCGGACAGAAAGCTGCCGAGATTCCGGATGTAACGAAGGCTGCAAAATAAAAAAAATTAGCAATATCAATAGTTAGCATGACCTCGTAAGTACGTAGATGGCTAAATAATACACGTGAAATAGATTCGCGCGTATTGCCTTTCCAAACCCTAAAAAATATCTCCTTGCATGGACAAAAATCTCCTAAGATCAAATGTTACACCTTTCCACTACCTCTGCGTAGAAGCGTACTGCACAGCGCACACTCGGACCAAAACGATCGATGATAGCCAAACTATGCTTTGACTGAGCTCAAGGAGAATACGTGTTTTGAAGGCATATTGCAGTTCGCGAATGAGTATCCTTACAATGGTACAGAAGGGTCGAACTTTTGAATGGCTCGGAATGTCGTCCAACGGTCTGAAATATCTTCTAAACTAGCGGGTCTTCAGGCGAACCATGGAGATTGTTGGAAAGAGGAAGTATTTGGCGTTCTGACGGCGTTTTTAATTTTGCAAAAGAATCTGTTTGAAAGAATTATTCTCGTACAAAGCGTAAAAACCCGTTCGCAACTTAGCACTAATGCGTAGGTAGATAACCTATCCGAAATATGTCACGAACGGAGGAATTCATATTACGAATAGGTAGAAAACACAACAGTAGAGACTTTACTTGACATGCCGCCTTCCTTTTCTCACGTACAAAAATATTATCGTCCCCAGCAAAAGCCCCGCGATTTCACGGGCCAAGAGATCTGCTCCATCGCTAATTTGCCACGGCAATACCAATCAATGCTGCAGGCGCTTGCTAGTCGTTACTTATCTATTCCCTCTCGTTAGAGCAAACAATCAGAGAAGGAAAGGAGCGGGGTCGCGCCAGAATCCTTTTGCGGCGGTCGTACTGACACCGTTATTTCACACATCACGATGCTGGAGCTTACCTGTGATACCTATGATACCAGAACACTACATAGTACATGAAATAACCACAATAATAAGAAATGAGAGACTAAGATAAGTAAGACATGATTGGCAATGTAATAGGGACTCACTGGGAGAATGAAAGACATGGCAGGGCGTTTAAACTGCAGATGATGGTGGCATGGTGGTGCGTTGCGAGAAGCACCGCCGCAAAATGCTTCCAGGGTCGTACGCAAGACGCGACAGTCCCATGCGGAGAACGCTCAGTAGAGGTTATCACAAGAATGCTGAGTTGTGGGCAAAAGTCGTGCCCCAGGCGGGAGTCGAACCCGCACCTCACGCTTTCCGCGGCAAGTACCTACTCCGTCTACGCCACCAGGGCCGCTTTACCCTCTCAGCTTAACGGCTTTTATGCCGTAGCCTATCAGCACTCACACGTTTAACTTGGTGAGCCGGTCAGCCGTGATCGATGGGATATCGGCGTGAAACCGCGAGGCCAAAGGCTTTAGATGTTTTTGAAGCTTTTTGTATGATAACTGCTGTTTAACGCCGCAGCACGCGTTCCGAATGTCATCACAAGAATGCTGAGTTGTGGGCAGCGTGAGTCGAACCTGCACCTCACGCTTTCCGGGCGAGTGCGCTTCATTTTCGTTCTGCGGTTTCATGCCGATATCCCATCGATTACGGCTGACCGGCTCACCAAGTTAAATGTGTGAGTGCTGATAGGCTACGGCATAAAAGCCGTTAAGCTGAGAGGGTAAAGCGGCCCTGGTGGCGTAACGGATAGCGTACTCGCCCGGAAAGCGTGAGGTGCGGGTTTGACCCGCCTGGGGCACGACTTTTGCCCACAACTCAGCATTCTTGGCTAGCCTATCAGCACCACACGTTTAACTTGGTGAATGAAGCTGGAAGCAGTGGGCCCAGACGGGGTCGATAGAGGCATGGAGAGGCCCTGGAGAGTTTGGGGTGAGTTGGCTAACTAGAATTCCTAAACAATGTAACGGCTTGAAAGAAGGATGCCAGATGCGTGAGAAGGCAAGCACCAATGCGTCCCCCAATCTTCAACAGAAAGGGTTACGGACGGAGTGCTACCAACTACGCGCTATCAGTTGACTCCCCAATACCATGAAGTTGTACGAGCGCCTGGTCAACACTAGGCTGAGGGAAACTTGTCCCTATTCTCGGCAGGAACAGTTCGGTCTTTCTATGCCGCGAAAGGTCCACCAACAGATGCATCTCAATCGTCAGACAGCTGATGGAGAAGTACGAGAGAAGCGCGACCCCTGCTACCTAGCCTTCCTGGACGCTTGAGAAGGCAATTCGACCGTCTGACCTCGACTGTACTCTGGAGAGCGCTCAGAGACGTAAAGTTCCGGAGGCCCATGGTCTCGCATAGTGAAGGATATGTATGATTGGGCTAAAGCAGCTGTCGCACCCACGCACGGCTTGACGAAGGAGGGTAAACACACGTTGGGGTTACACCAAGGATCAGCCCTCACCCGTTCCTCTTCCTACTGACTCTGGATGTCATGGCAAAAAGAACTTCATGGAGGCGGACCACTGAAGACCATCCTCTACGCTGAAACGCATCGCCCTGATAGCGGACAGCAGGGCGGAAACTCCAGGACAAGGTGCAGCGGTGGCAGGATTGTAACTCGCTAAGAATGGACTCCGTGAACGTAAAGAATACCAAGTTCCTGAGCTCCGAAGAGTGGTACCGAAGCCGCATCGTTAGACCGTCATCGGCGAGAGCATCGAAAGGGTCTGAGGACTTTGCAGCTACCTGGGGCGAACTAGCAGCTAAATGGCTAGAGGTGGACCAGCGCGGTTAATGACCGCGAATCAACGCAGCCTGGATGAATGGAGGGAGTCACGCGGCATCCTGTGGCGAGCCGCGGTGCTCGAGAACGGCTGCAAGGGGCAAGGTGGTACCGAGGCGTGTGAAGACCTACAAGCAATGCTCTATCGGCAGTGAGTGCTGGACAATCTGCAGGAGCCCATGAAAGGCACTCCCACTCAGCTGAAATGAGGATGGCTGAGATCGGGCCCTGCGGCTGGACACGGCTCGAACAGAGTCAAAACGAGACGTCATGGGGTCAACAAGACCGCTCCGATCCAGCTGAAGGCAGCGAGTAGCAACGACTGCGATGGTATGGGGCACGGTTGCTGGAGAGGTCTAAGGACCCACCCCAATAAGGAAGGAATTGGAAATTTGAAGGGCAGAGGGTAAGCGGACACCAGAGGGACCCCAAAGAAAAGATGGAGGGACGTCATCCAAGAATGGACTCGCTCACTGAGTGAAAGCCAAGCAGAAGATGGCTGTAGATCGGAACAAGTGGCGACATCTAACACGAACAGGCGACCCTGCGACGGCCGCGGGACTAACGCTAGGGAGAAGAGAGAGCCTAAGGGCCGGTGGTGTCGATTTACCATCAAGACCGGGGAACTCGTATAATAAGAGTGTGGTTGCTAGGGATGGCTTTCATTTGAGATAAGCCACTAAGTGTAGGACCGGAATTTTCGAAAAACTACAGTAGCAGCTTCGTTGCAGGACCAGCTACCGTACTCTCGCCATGCTATTCTCAGAATTTTCAACTGGCCTAATTTCGCGTGCGCCTTCTTCTGAATTTAGGGTGGTTGATATACGTTTCTTGGATAGTGAAGAGAAGTTTATCAACTTGAACAAAATCTAATGTAGGTTTCAGTGCCGGATATATATGCGAAGGCAATTTTCCACGAGACCAGCTAAGGAAGTGTTATGTGGACATTAGAAGTTTAAGCTTATAACGATATGGGGAGTTTTAGAATGGATCCTGAATAGCCGAGGATCCATTCTAAAACTTCGATTATTTTTGATTGCTTCATTCAGTGACCTTAGGCTAGAATACGTACTCGGTCGCTAAGGCGTTGAGCTTTTTATGTCCTGTTGCTTAGTATGGATCTAGATTAACCCCTGAAACATCAAATGTAAATGGGCGGGTAAATAACTTTGCCATATTGAACTTACACAATCTCCCAAATCACACCGGTCTTTAGCGACCTTTTGTGCGAGGTCAGATTTGGAAGACAATCTGCTTTCAGAGGTACTTCGACCTCCTAAACACGAATATCACATACGCTCCGCCCGAAACCGCCTGGCTATTACCGAGTTTTTCACTCCGAAAGAAAGGTCTGAAACAAACAAAACAAACACAACGCGTATAGCGCTAAATGGCGCCAGCGCCAGGAATGAATGTCATATTCGTGATCAGCACATCGGATAACATCTGTGGACAATGTATCCACGATTAAAAAATTTTGAGGTGTTGTGGTAGGAGTAGTTCAACAGCGCCTTACCGTTTGTATCACGAGAAATCAAAGCGGGAACCGCAAAACATTAACACATATCATATCTTGCTATTTCCCTCATCCCATTCTTGAAAATACCAATTTTCCTTCCCTCAAGTTGATGTAAATCCTTTCAAAAGTTTATATCCATGTAGCAAGTAGGAACGAAAAGGTAA